CCTGCTGCCGGAGCTAGACGACGCCTGAGAGGAGTGGCGGCCCTCTGTGTCGGTGGCGGTATGGGCCTCGCAGTTGCCGTGGAAGTGCTCTCTGACCAGTTGTCCCCGGACTGTTGCCTCCTAACGCCATAACCTTCCGGTGTCCATCCCCACTGCGTTCTTTATCCTACCTCCGCTTCCTTCTTACCTTTCTGTGTGACCCTGTAGCGCCCTCTTCCTTTTTGTACTCCTACACAGTATTGTCTAGTCTTAGTACTGATTGCGAAATTCTTAAATATTTTTGGATGATTTGTGAAAATACATAGCCGTGTTGTGCCACTCTTCCCTTCTTCATACGAGCGCTTGATGACTTGAGCTTACTTTTTTCGCTCACAGACCTTCTTTGATGCTAGTGTCCGCCAATTTTCTCAGCTTGACCCGTCAGAACTTCACAATCCTCTGTTGCGTATTTCCGCTTTTCTTATTCAGAAAATTGACTGGTGTCCTAACCACGTGCCTTAGCAATCATCGCTTACCCGTTATCAACTTCTCTGCAAGGTCTTTGGCTGTTGTTTTTTTTTATTCAGTGTCTTTTTTGTCGAAGCTTACCCGAAGATATGTGTAGACACACCCTTAAGCAACAGACTAATAGTACGTTTTCCCCATTATCCAAACATTCCACTTCCGCCTAACGGTAACGACCGTATGACGGCATGCTAACGATTTCGAAGGTACTAATTATAATTAGTAGAGTCGGTAAAGATGAAGGTCGTGGCGAGATTAGCACTGGTCAAATGACCAATCCCCTCGCTTTTATGAGCTATAGCCCTATATTTTCTGTAGCGGACTTATTTAAAACCATCCCTGCCCAACTAAGGTCTTCCCTACTTGTGGGGTTAAGTGGCCTGGCTTACAGAGGCTGTCTGTTTTACATTTACCACTGGAGAACTGTTCTCTTTTAGCCTGCGGTCCAAAGACGTCGTTGAATGAACCTTGTGTATAATTTTCACCTTTTGATTTTAGAACGGTCCTATGTTGCAAGTCTTTGGAGGCGTCCACCGCAATGCCTGAAAATCGCCAGTTTAATACGGCTAATTGTGAGCGTACTTTTGTCCAGCGTGACTTCTCTGAGGGCACCGCTGTACGTTTCCAGACCAGTCCTCTCCCTCCTCGACTTTCAGGCAAGGTAAGATTCTTTTACTCTCTTTCTGATGGCCTACCTTTTGCACCAAACTCGTTCTGCTACCTGACTAAGTTTTTAGTTCCTCAAGACCTGCCTCTTCGTAGATTGTCATACTCTTTGTTTTCTGGTGTTTCTGTACAGATATCACCGGAAGAGTTTGCCAAGGCAATCTCCGAGCTCAATCAACTCTTCGATGAGGCCGAGTCTATTTCGGCGGCGGTGGTTTGTGAAAACATCACCGCCTGCTTATTCGCCTACATGCTCTTCCTTTGCATGCCGACACACTACGAACGGGTAAGATTCAAATGTATTGTTATAATCACTCATGTGTAGGGCATTTCTTTACACCACTAGGAATGCTTTTAAGAGCAGCCAAGCGATCTCGCATGCACCAACGAAATAAATGGGAACTTGGGCAGATGACTGTTTGGCAATCATGAATTTTATTCCTTAATGGCGTCCTCTCTATTGGATGTGCTAGTTGCCCCCTTTTTCCGCTCAGCTGACATCGTGACTCAATGTCAGAGGTATAGACCGTTTCGCTGTCTGTTTCTGTTTGTTTTGCGGCGCTAGATCGGAGCACGGTGTGTGTTATTTGGGGTGCGCACATGGGTGGGTTCGGGGACACGGCTAGATGTGGCTTCGGCCGTGCCAGCCACCTGTGCCCTCTCCCGCCTTCG